TTGTCGGGAGACCAATTCTCTTAGGGGACCACTAATTACAATGACCTACAGATATTCCTTCTGGGTCGGTTTTTTTTTTTTATTAAGATTTGAATATGGTAAATGTTTCTAATACACTCTACAGTTAGGGTCGTTAAAAAAAGTACATATTTTAATTTGTATTTATAATTTGGCTCTGGCGGCTTTGTATGTTTTGTATACGCCTATTTTTTATCTATTTGTTGTATAGTTAGTTCGTGTATTAGGAAAGGGATAATAATTAATACATAGTTGCCTGGGCAGTGCGTTGGTACAGTGGACATTTCGCCAAACGCTGTTACACGCCTTGCTCTGTGGGTTCGATGCATATGCTGGATTTTTGTGATCTGCAAATAGTTTATCACATTCAAATGACTTCTTACACAATCATAAACAACAAAGTACACGAAGTACACTTTGTCATTGTTGATTGTAATTTCATCCAAGCAAAAACCCCTCAACGGTACATAGATATATCCTAGTGCGTATTATAATAGTTACTGCATATTATGACGTTTGCATAGGAACAAAATTTACGACATCTAAATCCACGAAGGCTAGCTATTAGTTATTATCAAGTTACCATAAGCTCTTTTTGCGTAGATCGGAATATAATGAGTAATGAAATAATTGACAGTAATAAGGGTTAACTATGAAATTATGACGAAAAACAAGTCAGTCTGTCCTGTTATGATGAACGCCGATAAGTGTTCGAAGTGCATAAAAAATAAATTAAAAGCAGGATTAAATATAAGACTTATTTATTAACTGAAACGTACAAAATGTGACTAATCTAATATCTCACAATCTCATCGAAACATTTGTGATGGATTGGCTTCTTCAGCTGTCCAGTATGTGTCCACTAACAAAGTCGAAACGTCCTTAATTTTTTCCGCGCCCTTACTTATCTACTGTTACGGCCGCGCTGAATTTGGTTTTTTAATATAAAAACCGCCCATAACATAACTAATAACATCGCGCTGCCGACAAAATAAACAAGCCGAGGGTCCGTTATTAAAAAAACTCGGACCAAAGGGCGGCGCACTGATTGTTGTCGTCGGAGGGCTTTCGCAAAAAAGCGGAGTTTTTTCTTCTCGACGGAGAAAAAAAAACCGTTTCGGTCCCTTTTGCGCCTTCCCATTGTCTCTGTCCTATTGTTTCGGCGATCCGAAATACTATTATGCTCCCGGGATGACAATAATGTTGATGTTGACGTTTTAGCTTACTCCACGATAACTATTATTCAGCGAATTTATCGATTCCGAATAAGCCCGCTCTCCGTGGAAACGGTAGTCCGATCGATTGTTATCGCCTAAGTGGCAATTTGTACACGGATGCCGCATCAAAATCGTTCCAATTATAAGGTACATCCGTCGACATCTAGTTGTTTCGATGTTCGATCATAGATTTGATAGTTCGAACGATAAATTTGCCAATATATTAGTTCTACAGATACCTCTGCCATCTAATGACAAGGAATTTTTGTAAAACATGGGAATTTTACGTTTTAAACATATAAATGATTCCGTGTGTTGTGTGAGTCTCTTTTGTTTAAAAGTTGAGACTTGAGTTGCATATTGAATGTATTTTTCTCGTAACGAAATGTTTTTTTTTTTAATTTTGAATTGGGAATGTTTACAAAAGTTATTGACTATCTTTTTTTTTAATTGTTTCAAAGAACAATTATTATACAGTAGTGGATATTATTCTTTTTAAATAATTATCTTCGAAGTTTGCTTTTTCTGTGTGAAAATTTGGCAAGCAAGCAGGCGGGGAACACCTGATGGGTTTGCAAATGCCTTGCCAACTTATAAAAAAGTGTGCTTCCGGTTACCTCACTCATCAGACAAAACGCGAAAGTATAATACTTCGTCTTCACGCCGTGAGGCCCTATTACTTCCCCGGATGAGCCTGCCTATTCGTGCGACAGTGGAACCGGCTGCAGAACCCTACCACAGTAAAATAATGGTTGTAAGTGGTTACCGCCACCAACGGCCATACACTACAACACCTAGACTGTGGCACAGTATAATTTTCGATAGAACTTATCAGATTGAGGAATGAGTACGTTTAACCCCTAAAGATGCATTCCATGACCCCTGACACCGTGAACCGGCGTTTTCGGGTGCCGAAATGTGTTGCCATCGCTGCAACACGGATGATTTATTAGTGAATTATTCAAATCGACGCTCATTGATTCCGTTCGATGGGTTTTTGTCCGAGCGTTTCGCATTTGCATCGGAACACTGATGCCCAAGGTGTGGGATCGATGATTTATTTCAGACTGCTGGTTTATCGCTGCCGGTTAGCAGCTGCCGCTGTTGCCGGCTACCTTAGTGGCAACTGCTCATTTGTACGAACTTAATACCACTACACTGAGGAAACATTTGCAGTAATTACCTAGTGCAGTTTTATTATTTGATAATAGGGTTTTATTTATAAAGATTCATACATGATTAACAATATCATTTTTATTTTTTTTACAAAGTTACCTAACCTAATTTAATTATCGATGACTTGCCTACAGAACATACTAGTTCATAACTAGGTGGTGGCAAACATTTAGTTCGGGCTTAGATAATTTATCTGTCTTTGTTATAGTTTACAATAATAATAATTGGCTAATTTTTCATGTCTGCGAAAGATGACAATGAATTCACATATTAACTCGTGGTTAGATATTAATGTGATCAATTAATCGAAGATTTTTTCTGTAAAAAAAAATTGAATAAATCCAATCTGTGGATTTTTTGCGTTTATTTAATAATATTTTTGTTTTAATTCAAGGTAAGTAATAATAATTACATTTAAAAACGTGATGAAATCTGTAAACTTTGTAGTTTAACAGTAAAATCTACTTTAAGATTTTAATTTAGAAATAAACTGTTAGCTTAACGGTCACACTTTACTTATTACTACTAATACTAGTTACTTCTATATTACTCACTATAAAAACACACTCATAAGCTAAGACAAATAAATTTACTGAATACCAATTAAGAGCTAATTGCCAAAACTAAAAGTCTAACTAAGTCCGTAAGCTGGTTTCGGAAGGGACGTTGCCGCCGCGTCGCCTCCGCACATACCGCCAGCTGCATCGGAAGAATGAACCTTTGATTGTAGCCAAACAGTGAAGTCGTATGCAAATGTAGCGCAATAAATAAGAACCATTTAATACACGCCAATAGTTGAGAATTGGCCGTTATTTATATGGTAATGGAGCGTAACCCTGCGCCGGGTTAGCGCTGACTGCGCGACTCCGGAGGAATCCGGGGCCGATTTGCATTGCAAAGCGATTGACGCCGAAGCAGCGCTATTGACGATTGATGATTCAGTATCGGATTTTTCCCGCGCTTCATTGTTTGATTTGGCGTTGTAATGACGGCAGATGTCTTGGGGCCGGTGTATTCCGGCGCGTACACCCGAACTTGACGATAGATGTCGTTGGTAAACCGTTGTTATAGGTGGTGATGTAAATTTTATCATTGAGGCAGTTGATTGGTCATATCTTCGTAGTATATGTGGCCCTAAAGCCTGAAGGACTGATGATATTAAAGACGGAATGATTGGATGATATTTATCCTTTCAGTCCTTAGAACTATTATCTATATTATGCAACAAAGACAACATACAAAAAGTGATAATTTAAAGTCCGTACATAATCCACAGCCGTTTTCAGCGCTCATGTACAGTCTATGACCTGCAGGCAAAGTAAATAACCTGAAATGTAGTATTTTATCATATTATTATAGTAGGCTTTACCATATTTATTCATGTTATAAAATATCTATAAAATCACTTTTCTTTTCAGACTACATTATACAAACGAATACTTAAAAAATATAACATAACGATTATTTTACATTATATTCTTGCTTCTTCAAATTACACAATTTTATATGAGAAGCCGTTAAGTGAGCTGGTGGTTCTTCTGGTCTTAGAAGTAATACCACTGAAGAGAACTTATAAATATCCAAAAGTGTGGGCCGGTTAACACACTCACCAGACGTAAAGCCGAAGCATTATGTTACAGTCGCAAAAGTATAATAAACCTCAGGTGAACTTGCCCATTCATTCAATAACAGGAGACGCTGTCTGTCCCTTCCACCAATAATGTGCCGTGATAGCTCAGTGTCCGGGCGCTCGCCTTCAATATACTTGAGCAACTTGAGTTCGATCCCCGGTGCCGGCACCAATGAAATTGTTAATTTTAAGTGCTGACTTATCACGTGATCAACGGTGAAGGAAAACATCGTGAGGAAACCTGAATATTTTCGAAATAACAACAAAAAAAAATATTTCGAAGATATGTGAATGATATGTGTGATATGTGTGTGCATGGTGGACTATGCCCTGATACCCTCTATACAGAGGAGGCCTGTGCTCAGCAGTGGGACATATATAGGCTGTTACTTTACTTTTTTAAAATGTAATAATTACATTTTTTCCTTCCATAAATCTACTTATCAAAACTGTTGAAGTTGAAGTACGTATCTGTTATTAATTCTGCACATTATGTCATTCCATAAATCTATCAATACTTTTGGATATAAATATGGTATTTAGAGGAACGGATAGGACCATGCTTCGAATAACTGTTGAAATGAGAATGGTATTAAATAGCGTCTAGCGAATGCTCGCACGCACTCTTGTGTCACCACGCAGAGCCGGCGCGCACTACGCGGCGGGAACGACGCGCTTTTATAAACGCCATCATCCCATGTGCCAATCTGATAAAGTCCTTTGAAGAACCATTTCCCAATGAGCATATATGTTAGTAATCCAGCAACATGATATTTAAGTCTACAAAAAATACTCCACCACACAGATTACTACATACAAAGTGCAACTACATCTTTCAAGCATGCCTGTATATTCGAATATTAAGTTAACCACGGCGTATATAATATATACATATTAATACGGAGTAAAAACTTCCCCTTTACAATGTTATGGTTCTTTGCACCATATGCAGCATAATTATGTCCACCAAGCCCCAATGTGGCCTATCGCCAAGCAGGTGACAACTGACGTACCAAATTAACACTGTTTTCTTTTCATTTATAACTGTACCATTTTTCATTAGGACCAGTATCGAGAAATTAACGCCAATTTATTGCTTGAGTACATTGAATTTAAAAGTGAAGCAGCGCGCTTCACTTTAAGAGCATAAAATGCATAAAATAATAAAGAAAACTATTAAAAATCATTATCTAGTAAAGTAGTATTCACATTTGTTAGTAAAAAATCTCTATATTATTATATACTCGTCAAACAAAAGAAACAAAACAAAATAGCTATCGAAAACTGTGGCAGATTAAAGGTGTAATTAATCGCAAATTATACTTGTTGCCAGTTTTAATTCTGACTATAATAATGAATGAAACTATAATAACAGACTGTGCCTGCAGTTCAATGGTATACTCTATTCTCATGCCTACATAAGGGATGATAAAAAATGGCGAGGGGGAAATAGTTAAATATACAAAAAAAAGCAAGCATAGTACTCAGTAGTGCGTTCGCGTGCCGCTCCGCAAGTGCGAAACGACGCGTCAGAGGTGTTATTTTTGTCACACTGTCATTACAAGACGGTTCCGGCCAAATTGCAGCGGCGCGATGCCACCATGCATATTCATCAGCTTCATTGTCTCAGCCAGTATTGTCTCACCTGGAGCCGCCCAGCGCCCCCAGACCTCCGGCTGCCCCGAAGCTACGATCACGCTGTTCGTGGGCGCCGCGACCGGCGGGGTCAGCGTACAGCGGTGTTGCCGCACAAAAGAGCCTTCATAAAATGTCGAGTGAGACCCAGCACTAAACGGGCGAGGAACGCACGAGAACGTGTGGTTAGAGTTAATCGCAGTTCACGGTTTTGTTAGGGCCCGGTTGAATTAACTAATTGTGTCATTGTACGCCCGCTTGAGCGTAGTGTTGTTCGTTATTATAGCGGCACGTATTTTCACTATTTTTGATGTAATACTTAAGAATTATGTAAGTTGAAGATCACGTGGTTTAAATACCAGTTGACGATAATACGTGTCAACGATATTCTTACGTGTCTCTTTAGTAGTTCCTTATCTATACTGTTTATTTTTTCACTTTTTTATTGACTTGAACATTATCTTTTCGCTACTAACTATGAATATTGCTGAAGTATTGTGTTGAATAAATTGAAGTTTGAATTGGTGCTTTATAATGTTTTAAGTGCTGAATAAATCGTTAGAGTAAATGAGGTCTTAAAAATAATATGAATCGTCAAAACGAACTCCAAACTTCCACCGGTCCCAAAGAAACGCGACCGCTTAACAAATAGATAGTTTGCAAAACTTTACTACTACATTAATCGTTAACAAAGATACGGCCGAGCGTAACACTCCCAACGCACGGTTTTCCCTAAGCCATACATCACGGCATTAAAAAAACGTGTTTACGCAACAGAACCGTTGATTACGGAGGCGGTGGACGAATAAATTATTGGCTCCTAATTGATGGCCGCTGCTGGAACGGCTTTCGCGAGAACCATCTCCGGCGTCGCCACCACCGCGACCCTTGACCCCGGTCACGACAAGGGCATTTTTCTAATCCGCGACGTTCCGCTTGCTCAATACCTTAAATAATCACTCGAAAATACATGCCATTAATAATCGCTCGTTTATGACATCGATAGTAGACCAATCGGAGAAAAACGAGTCAACACATAGATTAATAATGATGTTCCATTTCAACATTGACAAAAATAAGCACTCGTAATGTTATTGGTTCGTCCAAGGGAAGTTGTTTCTACCTCAACTTTGTAGGTACGGCACTTTCGTGGTTAATTGACAACTGATTGTCATTAAACTGAACATTTCACACAAATCCATACAAATCGAATCACTAATCATTCATCGCTTTCTTTACAATTATCATCCTTTTAAAACATAACTATTTTTGCTTGTTTAAAATTTGTGCCAATAGTTATTATTAAAATGTTATTCCCGCTTATTGTTTGTATATTCGTTCTTTGAGTTAATCAAGCGCGCCTGTTTTTAAGTCTCTTCTGACCTCAATCAGATGCCAGGTGGTGCTGTTACCAATAAGTGAAAGCATCGCCTTTCGATAAATCTTTTAAAGTTATTATCAATAAATCATACGAATAGCGAAACTCCACAGGTTAACCGTAGTCTCGGCCAGATTAAATAAATCTTTATTAGTATTATTAGGGACAGTGGATATTCCGGTACGGTGAAAACGAGAAAGCTTGTTTACGTGTTTATTATTATATGTCAATCTCCAAAGCGGAGCTGAATTAAACAATGAAAAAAAAAAACGAAATGGTGCATTATCCAAGTAACAGACCTGGTGGCCATAGTTTGAGTTTCGATTCCCATTCAGCATTCATTCAGTCAGTCATCCCATTCGTATGATATCACTTAATAAATGTTCGGTAACTGTTTATTCAAATCTTAAATATGGCCAAAACAAAATCATTACTAAAACTGATGATATATATATACACTAGTTACATCAAGTTTTATGTTCTTGTAACTGTGAGGTAATCAAATACAAGGGAGGTGGCCACTATTTAGGTGAAATTAACATTAACCTACACTAAGTACTCTAATAAATAAGTTATCCGATAAAATTGACTTTGACTCTACTTCAATATCACCACCTTACATTTAGCGCCGACGGACAATTCAATTAAAACATTTTATTCAATTGAAAGAACCTTAATTAAATAAACACACGTTGTTATTATGCGTATAAACAAAAGGAAACCCAAGTTAGATTATAGGTAGATAAAATAGAAATTTGTTTTATAGAAAAATATGACATATTGCCATTAGTACCACTGTGTGCCACTCTTTTATTTCTTTTATTTTTTATCTATAAGTGTTACCACGGAACCTTTTTTTCATTTTTGTATTTTGTCAAGTATTGTACCAGTGCATTGGTCCATGCTATCTCTTTAACTTGGTTTTGCATTGACTTGTAAAGAATTATAAATTGTGAATGCAATTTTTTTGTGTAAAAATAAGCAAATAAAAAAAAACACCGTGACTGTTTTTTAAACGGACAAAGATTTCCAAAACATTAAACAGCAACCAAGCGAGCAGTTCCTCTGGATGGAAGAGTTATTTCAACGACCCATAGACATCACAGAGTTTAATAAGTATGCTGATGCGGTTCCGTCTGTTCAGAAGATGGGCTCTTTCTTATCCCACGCCGCGGTACTGTAAATCTTCTGCCATCGGTATTCTGCCTGGAATTTTCTTGGTGAATCTTCAGCGTTTAGTTCATACTAACTAGACCACGCCGCCTTTGGTGCAATTGTTCAAAACGTGTCCGAGTTAACTCAGACCGAAATCGGCCCAATAAGCCGGTTCGGAAGCGCCGCCTAATTGTCTACAGTGGGTAATTATTTAACGCGTCCGTTCCGTGGCTAATTATCTTAATTGAGACGTGGCCGGCCAATGTTATGTCATTACGGGGAGGGGCAATTAATATCGGCCATTATCGCTCCGGTTTTTTTGCTGACCAAGATTTATCCGCGAGATCTCGCGTGCGCATCTTTTGCGATTCGCTTTATTGTTGTTTTAGGACGCACCGAGTAATTAATACTTATTTTAATTAAAACTCATTCGTTTGTTTAAGAGCATTCGTTAATATATGTCATTCCATTTAGCTTATTCAAGCAGACCTATTAGTGTTGATAAGTGTTGATACGTACACATAATTTTAACCTAACAAATAAAAATTCCGCCAAATGCTTTGTCCAATACCAATTTTATGTAGTGGAATGTAGCTTCTCTATTCTTTTGTGTAGAACTAGCGAGCTGCCCCGGCTTCGCACGAGTGCAGTGTATTATACATATAAACCTTCCTCTTGAATCACCGTATCTAGTGAAAATACCGCATCAAGATCCGTTGCGTAGTTTTAGAGATCTAAGCATACATAGGGACAGACAGACAGCGAGACGACTTTGTTTTATACTATGTAGTGATTACTAATATAAGATATAAAAGGTTATTGAGGCCATGCTTTTTTATATTTTCGTAGATATTGGTTGCACCAGCAATGAAGAGTATAATAGGCATGACCCGCGCCGCGCAGTGCGATGTGGCAGGACTAAAAAGGAGGACGCCGGCGACTGAGCGACGCCTTCGGCGGGTGCCAAGTAGGAAGCGGTGCGCGGAGGGGCCGTGGCACGTCGCCGCCATCAATCACGGCGCGCGGTGCCAACGACCGCAGGCCCTGCCAATGCCAGGGCCGGTGACGTCACGACGCCAGCTCCCAACGGCCAGCACCGCATACGGCCAACGCGGCCAACCCTTCGGCGGACGTCGAGGACAAAGGCGTCTCCCTGCGATTGTTCTCCACGCGACGGACTCGGATGCGCGTCTTTGTGTGCGTCCGCTCGCACCGACATCGACACCGTATACGCGAAATCTGAAGGACACGTATGATCGTGTTTGTAGATCCGTTCTGTGCGTTGCAATAATTCATTCGGTGCGTCAATGACAAACAGACTTAGGTATAAATAGTCGATAAACAAGCAGTGACAAATCGAAACTACGCACTAAAGAATAGTAGTAGAGCACTGGGCAAGACCAAAAAGAATCGACAGTAAAGTTGGAATAAAGACGCTCTTACAGAACAGGAACTAAGAATTAATTATGACCACATTAAAAGTGTTATTAGGAAACTTGTCAAATAACTATTAACGTGATTATTGGACGATAAAGGTACCGTTTTTCGCACGCCACACACGGAAATGGATGTCGACGAGCAAGTCTTCTAAGCTCTACAGACGTTAGAAAGTCGGATCCAGTGCCAATATTGGCGAGTGTAGATAACAATTATCGCGCTCGTTTCTAATCGAAAGCTAAATCGTCCATTAGTCGGCCAATCATCGGCTAATGGCCGGCCCCTTGATTGCGCGGATGTGGAGTCGACACATCATCGACGCGTGGCCACCATAAAACCTAATGATCGATGATTGTGCGCTATTGGGCACAAGACTATAAAACTGAATTTCGCGTTACTACGAACGGGAACTGTTATCCATTCGTCACAACAAGGCTGTAGGAAATTTGTCTAGAAGATCTCCGAACAGATGAAAATAACTTCTAACATACAAAATTGACCGCTTTTCAGAAGAAACGCAGAATTGAAATCGCTATGTGTTCAATGAAATATTGATGTTTTTATAATGTCTGTTTTGATATAATAAACTCTGAAGCACAACGCAGGATAATTTTATATGTCACCAGTACTTTCAATAGATATATTACAATAACTAGGTAATTTATAGTTAAAGAGCCGTGATAGCTCAGTGTCCGGGCGCTCGTCTTCTTTCAATATACTCGAGCAACCTGAGTTCGAGCCCCGGTGCCGGCACCAATGAAGTTTTTAACTTTAAATGCTGACTTATCACGTGCTCCGCGGTGAAGGAGAACATCGTGAGGAAACCTGCATATTTTCGAAATAATAACAAAAAAAAATTTCGAAGACATGTGAAGTCCGCCAATCCGCAGTGGGGCCGCGTGGTGAACTATGTCCTGATATTCTCTTTATAGAGGAGGCCAGCAGCGGGACATGTATAGGCTGTTACTTTACTTTTTCATTCAACGTTAGTTGTTTTAGTTAATGAAATGATTTTATATTAAAGTGACTATATGTTCCACTTCCTATTGTGATTTGAAAGTGAAATTAGGAGTTGAATTACACCAAAAGTGAGCGATCGCTTGCTTATCTGCACATTGACCTCCAGCAGTTTGTAGTTCACCTCCAAAGCGTTAGTCTAATGATAAGGATTAGATTAATGGTTATTCGTGAGTGAAAAATCTATAATGTAATGTAAGCTAAAAGAACCTTTCTCCTAATTAATTAAATCCATGAGATAAGGCATAAGGAAGAGACAGCCTCAGCTCAAAAACAATGTAGTATTATTGCTTTCAAAGTATTAATAATAATAATAAATTACTACCGTGTTGTACTAAACGATTATACATAATAAAACAATAGACCTGAATTAATAATTATTGAAAAAGCTAAGAAAAGAACATATATAATAGATGTTTCAGTACCAAACAAAAGCACGACTTCGACAAGAGTGGAAAAAGTAGTGAAGATAAGGAAACAGTGGTTTGTCATCTTGTATTTCAGTGGAATTACTAGATGACATCGAAAAAATTCTTACAACTAGACCCATACCAAAAATATTTAATAGTTTAATTCTATATCACTTCAAAACACATCCTTATTAATTCTCTGCCGAATAGTGACAAATTTTGAAATTGCCACTCCATCAAAATCTAAGGTAATACGACTTGGTCTCCGCTCAAGTTTCCTTAAAAAAATAAAGAGACATCCTCAGAAAAAAGACAAAAAGATTGATAAAAGTAGAAAAACATACAGTTTTATTTAAATAGGGCTTTACAATTGTGCATACTTTGATTTAATATTATGTTTTTTTTTTTTATATTTATCAAGTATTTACCACATTGAATTTTATGTAAATGTGCGTATATTTCATGCTAAATACCAAAATCAACCACACCAATCGCGAGAAAAACTTAATGGTCCGTATATAATAATTATGTTTTGTTAGTAAAAAAAATACAATATGAGAGTCATTTAATACTAATAAAATAGTCGTGTATATTTTTGCATGCAATAAAAAGGAGGAAAATATTAAAATATTAAAGGAAATAGTTTACAAAAATATTAATTAGTTAGGAAGCGTTTTGACCACTATTTTGCTAATGAAAAAAAAAACTATGTCTCGCTCTTTAAACGCAAATCATTTCTAATTTTTAATTAAAACTAAAGAACATAATATGATAACAACGAAATCATTATTTTAGATTGTGATTGATATCAATACAAGCATAAGAATATTTTATAACACTGAGTTGATGCACATGGTATGTAAAGTTATAATGGGTATGTAGGGTATATAAAGTTACTGTTAAGTAATCAACACTACCCCATGGTCGGTTAAAGGACCTCTGTACCTTCAATTCAGCAAGAGACATTTATGTAACGATAACCACGGGTCGATTCTTCATGTCGAGCTACCTCACGACATCGATGTTCTCAATTTATAGCGTATATAAATAATTTATGACCAGGATACAGGTGTAGGTGCACGCGTAGTACACACTGATTGCGAATTACTCTGTCGCGAAGACCGGTCGCAGTCACGTGGCGTTGCGTGGACGTAATTAATTGTGATGAATTATAATCAACCTAGGCTATAGCTATGAGTTTCAAGTGCACCAGATGTTCTCCATTTAGATTTGAACAGAAGAGGCACGATTTGTCAACTGTAACGCTATCACCGAAGGATTGCATAAATTAGCAATTAAATTACGAGCGCTTAAATTAATAATAAATTTATTCTGTGGTAGGGCCACGCAGCAGCCTCGGCTGTTGCACGAATGGGCAGGCTAAGTAAGTACCACGGCTAGGTAAGTGCCACGACCTCACAGAAGACCGGCGTAAAGTGGAAGTATAATACTTTCCCGTTTCGTCTGGTGAGTGAGGTAGCCGGAGCACAATTTTCAAAAGGTTGTCAACGCATCTGCAACCATTAGGTGTAGCAGATGTCTATGAGCGGCGGTGTTCACTTAACATCAGGTGAACCGTCTGCTCGCTTGACAATTTATCACATACAAGAATGTCCTGTGGTTCGTTGATGAACGAATGGACAGGTCCGTCCGGGTAAGTGCCGCGACCTCACAGAAGACCGCCATGAAGTGGAAGTGTTATACTTGTGCATTTTGTCTGGTGAGTGAGGGAGAAGGGGTTCACTTTAATTAAAGGGTTTCGCAAATGAACCACTAACACTGCGGTCAACAAACAAAACACACAACTCAAAATACACAGACTAAGTTTAACTCAGACAACGGTCCTTATAAAAACCGTTTCTTAGCTCTACCTTTTGACTGTGGTCGAGTCAAGTGGTGGCTTTGAATGCTCACCGTGGTATTTTCCATTCGTAATTGTGCGTTGTAATTGTTCGCAATTGTTTTCCGATTGCGTAAATTGAGCAGCGCGGGGCGGGCGTCTGAGGCCGCAATGCGCTCACGCATGACAACGCGCTCACAACTTTTTACACGCTTCTTGGCTCTGTGCGTACCGCTTCAGATTAGCCGTCGCTATCGTCAGCGCCAATATCGCCCTTATTCCCGAGCACTTAGATGCTAGTGTGTTGTCCGAGGACTGACCGTAGCTTCTAATCGCTCCGAACGTCCTCTTTTCGGAACTCTAACGGTACGTAATCACCTTGCCGCATAAACAATTTTTTGTTGTTATCTTTTCACAAATCATTGCCAAACCACGAACCACAAATTTTTTAACGTTTTAGATTCATAGACAATAAAAAGAATGAATTGAATACAATGAAATTGGACCTGAAAGTATTTTTATAAATTATGTGTTTTCTTCTGTAAAAATCGAGATTTCTCATTGCAATCGCTTCAAAACCAAAATAATCACCTGAAGCTCAATCGCACCATCTAGATAATTATAGAACTTGAATTATTTGATGACCAACGGTTTCAAGTAGCGATTTGTTTGTTTTAATCTTTATTATTTATACTTGTTATTCTACGTAAATTCTATGCTGCTACACTCTCAATGCTGTACTCAAAATATGCCACGCCAATGTGTGGGGTAATACTGTTGATACTCACGTAGGATAAAACAAGACTATTATACCTGTAACATTATATTGTAAACTGACCTTTTAAAAAAGAGCAACTGTTGAGTTTCTTGCCGGTTTCTTTTCAACAGAAACTGCTTTCCGAACGTGGTAACTTACGAACATATTAATTTCCTTGTAAAATTTCGACGTTTCATAAGAACGCGCAAGCGTCTATGTGAATAAAGATATTTTATTATTATTGGGGGGATATTCATTTGTTTTCTCGTCTGGTTGGGTTTATAAATAAAAATAAAAATAAAGATATAGATATATATTGCATATATAAAATAAATATTATGGATAAAAATAAACATATTTATATATATATATATATATAAATAAATATTTTATATAATACGTATATAAATAGGACCCAAACAGACGGAAGCCCTCGGCAGGGGAGACCAAACGGCCGCGGGTTAGGGCGAAAGGGAGAGAAACCGGCGGACGATGCGGGCGGTATCGAGGAGCACCGCCTTCTGCATTTGAGCCTGGAGCGATCCGTCCCGGAGTCCCAGTCGCCTCAGATGTTTAGAGAGGCTGACTGGGATCAACCCATTCGCAGACACGACTATCGGGATAATTTCGGTCGGCACACCACCCCACATGTCGGTCACCTCGTGAGCCAGGTCCAGATACTTCGTCTTCTTATCTGTTTCGGCTTTCACGAGGTTCTCGTCATATGGAATGGTAATGTCGACCAAAAATACCCGCGACTGTGCCCGGTCCATCAACACGATATCAGGTTTGTTCGCGACAATCGTCCTGTCCGTGATGATGGACCGGTCCCAATAGAGCCTGGCGC